TATGAATAAAGAACCATATTTAGAAAGGTACATTTTGTACAGTTATTTACCAGACTAGTTACAGTATTTACAGCTTATCTTTTATTAATTTAAGGATAGAACAGAAGTGGGTTAAGATCCTTGAAACTTCCGGTGGCTTGCTCAGAAGATTGGTAACAGCACTGTGCTGGTTTCCCTCTGCTAATGGCGCATCCCGTATTTTATGGAAGAAAAATATCTGTGAGTCAGAATGAGTGGGGGACGAGACGAGCTTGTGGTGAATCTTATGGAATCCTTAGCGCAAGATCATAAAGGGAGGGGTCTGAACTGTCACAGAGCAGCCATATCCGCACAGATATATGGGAATATACAGCCATGGTGACATAAACTTCTGTGATACGATGACAGCGAGGAAAGCCTCACCATGATGGTACACTGTCAGTATCTTTTAACTCTGAATTTTTAGTATTTTTTAACTTTGGTGACTAAAATATCAAGACCAGCATCTCCAGGAAGCTTAATTTTTAACGATAAAGCCGATAATTTAAAAGAAAGCGATATTATGCAGAATGTGTCGTGGCTGACACTGCCCTGGACCTGCACGGTTGAGCTATAACTCTAGAATGGTGTCATTCGCTGAGGGTGGAAGCAGACAGTCTGTGTGATTATGCGCTCAGGGCCCTTGGAACGACTTCTAAGCTACATTCATGCATTTCACCAGTGTGTTTACAGCCCATTGAAGTGAGGCCTCCTTTATGGTAGAGCACGGATTGGATACCTCCATGTACTTCTTGTGGTCCCAGTCTTTCCATTTCGTCATGAGACAGAGCACTGGACTGTCAGCTGACATTGACTATTTCTTAAACAATGACCAGTTAGCTCTCTGTGTGCCAAATGTATAACTCATAGCCTATTTCAGTCTCCCTAGCACTGTTAAGGTTGTGTTTCCATAGAGAGAGACTGGCCCTTCCATTGCTGGTGAGTCAGTAAAGAGATTTTTATCCCGGAGGGGAGATGTTTCCCCTCCCACGTCTCTGCGGGGTGCTCTGTCACCCCCTGCTTCTCCTACTCTGATTCATTCACATTCTCTTATTCTCTTCCTGGCCTATCTTTTGCTCTCATGGCAAACGAAGCTCCTATTTGCTCCGCCGAGATGCAAAGGCTAACCCCTGCTTTTCTCTAAAATCGCTTTTGTTAAAAATGCTGTAGGTAAAGACTGGCTTTCGTCCAGGTGAGGAGGTAAAGCAGAACGTTTGTTAAGGTCTAGTTCTCACACCCCACTGTTACTCAAAAAGAATACAACACTCAGCTTTTGTGTTTGGGATAAAAAAGAAAATATTATATCAGTATTTGCAATTTCAATTAGTTGATTGCTGAAGCATTTCTTAGAACACTGTAGATTTTCTGAGCAAATTTGGGTAGTTTTGTTCTATAATTTTTACATTGGTTTTGGGAACATATTTCATGGGATTTTGGATGATCCTTCTATGCAGAACCTTTCAAGATGGATGATATTTTGAGGTTTGTTCTTATGGACTGCTTCCTGTGGGTGAATGTATCAGTTATGGAGACAAAGGTGGGCATAGCAAAACATTTGGGGTGGGCGATTCTACGAGGTCAAAATTTTTATATCACCATGAGGGTTAAAAATCACTTTTTACTAGTTTAAATGTAGGTTAGTATAGTTATGTCGGTTACTTTTGTTACTTGTATGTGCCCTGTTGCACGTGGCTCAGTTTAAGGGCTTGAGATAGGAGAGTCTGGCATGGCGTTATCACGGATGAGCAATCCTTTGCGGGGACTTTCCCAAAAAGTAAACACCTAGGCATGAGTGCAGGTATCTGATTGGGTTCACAGTTCAGTGCAATTTTAGTTCAGCAGGGACGCAGTTATAAACATAAGGCAATGTGCCTGTCGACGTGTCCGAATAACAACACCGCCCAACAAAATGCTCGTTTGCACTGTAAAAATAAATATGTAAAATTAAAATTAAAAAATGCTTGCATCATAACTATCATAATTAACGAAATCCCATGTTCTCCGCTACAGAGCATGGTCACATATCTGTAGTAATAAACAACCCTGTAACCTCAGTAGTCGTTTTTCAGCCCAGTCTGATTTTCCTGGTAAAAGAGACCTTGAATGCCATGAGGAGACTAACTTAATAGTCATAGGAATGCCATAAAAAATAATAAGATACAATAAATTAAATAAATGTGTTTCTTTATTGCCTTTGCATTTTCTTTATTGCTTTTTCCATATTGATTTTGCTTTTCCCCCAAGGGCCGAGCTGTCGATAAACTGGCATTGAGTGGGCCTTCCCAGAAGGGGCTGGCAGGCGAAAAGGCTCTACTGGGATAGCTAACTGTGTATGGTGGCTTGTATGTCACTCTGTACTGTAGGCGGTAGCAGTATGCGAACTGGTGTCCCTTGGTAATAATGGAGGAGAAGAGGCGAATTTCGGGAATCATAGTGGTAATTGCGGAAGGAGCTGCAGAGGAAATCAGGAAATTTCAGAAGCCTTAGGTATGTTTAGTGATTTTCATTAGATTATTTATAATGCAGTTATTATGCAGTTCATTAGATTTCATTAGAGGTATGATGGAGGAAGTGCTGTGAGAGCCACAGTGACCTTTATTTTGAAATCCCGGTGGAACCATGACTGCGAGAGACCCACCATGACAGAGGCTTCATCCTATTTTCCCCATTTCAGTGCAAGCGCACTGAGATGCCGTACACATTGGTGATGTATGTTGACTTAAGACGCAAAGTGTGCAAGTGTATGTAAAGAGCTGGAGTATTCACACGCCTAGTGCAGGTATCCAAGGGTGTCCCGTTGCTCAATTATGCCAAGTGCAGCGCCTTTAATGTGCACTTTATCCACACATTGGCAAATACTGCATGGAAGCCATTTTCAGCTAAAGTGTATAGATCACCATGCACCGCACCACTGATGACTAATCTTTACATCACAACAAACACGAGGAAGTCTGTCGGCGTATCAGAGCACAGCATGCTTCCTAAGAAGTTTCAGTATGAGTGCGCAAAAGTTGTATGAAGAAAGTTTACATAGCCTAGGCTACAGTGAAGAACAACCCCAAACACAACTGACACAAATGATAACATAGTTGTAGCACCCGGGCAATTTTGCTCTTTATATGCTGTAAACTTGCGCACTTTGCATCTTCTGTGAACATGTGTTACCAGAGTGTGTAGTATCTCAATGCGCTTGCACTTAAATGGGGTATATGGGATGAAGCCCAAGTTTTCCTTATAAGGGGCTACTCCACAAAACAAGTTTAGATGGTTAGCCAGATAACTTTAAAAGTTTCTACAAAGCATGTTGTCAGGAAACCTGATTGCTGGCCATATATCAATACCTAAGGTCCACTGGGCCTTTGGGAAGGGATGTATCCCTGTCGAGTCCAACTGCCTTTAATATAAGCAAATAATCATTTGTTTCACAGTTTCCTTGACTAAAACCAGCCATGTTGTACCATGTTTTGCCACTCGCTCCATCTGAGGGGGTGTGTTCCAGTGGGAAGGCCCGCCCAAAGCCAGTTGATTGACAGCTTGGCCCTTTGAGGAATACCAAAAGCAATAAAGAAAAGCATTTTTCTTATTTTAATTTTTTTATTTGGATTTCTGTAACTTTCTTATTCAGTATTTATTTTCTTATCCCTTCACAGATTTATTCTTTTTTATGGCACTCATATGACTCCATACTAACTTGCAGAGGCTCTTTCTGCCTTGCGTTGGATGTATACACACTCGAATTATGTCGTCTCAAGCGTGCTGGATGCGTTTCCAGAAACACTTCTGAGTTCGGTATAACAGAGCTGACGTTCTTGGTCTTATAAACTACTCTGCCTTTGGTGTTGATATAATTTACTGGGAAACTAAAATGTTCCCAAGCTACTGATTTAAGTGATGTGGGAGGGTCTTTCAGCTCTCTTAACCAAATCATAACCACAATTAGCATAATGTATTCTGTGTTGAACTTGTGAATTTAGATTTTGCCCTTGTCAAGAAATGTATCAATTTGTTTCATTGTGCATTCCAAACTGAAAATGATGTAACCAAAAGGCTTGATAAAATACGTGTACCATCAAGCCCTTCAAATTTAGTTCTGAAATGCTCTTCAGCAAAAACCATTCATATTTTTGTCATCAAACAAACATCGATTCACCAATTCTCAGCCCTGCAAAACATTTTTTTTAATTATTACCATTTCTGTGCTACCTTCAGTGTAAGTTTGTCTTGTTTTAAAGATCTTCCCAAGGCTATAAAGTGGTGCTGGGTAGGAGTTATTAAATCATTCATTTTAACAATAGCCTGTGGACCACTAGTGGCAAATAAGCCCTGAAGGCATCAGTGACTCATCTCCAGAACCTGCTGGCATGGAGGCGACATCTCATGGTTGATGAGACTTTTTGTCCCTAGGATGCATCTTTGGAGCAGTTCTTTGACTGTTTCATTTGTTCCTCTTCACTTTCCACACTTTGACTTAGGAAAACAGGCTCTTGTGTCTTGGCGAGTTTTCAGCTATTCCACGTTTAAACATTTTGATTGTTGTCTGAATGTGGTCTGCAACACGATTAACCATTCATGATTTTGTACACATAACATCCTTCATGTTCCTTCAACAACCATCTGTCTCTTGTGATTGGACAGTTTGGCCTGTTGTTTCTCATTGGTGATGATAAAGGACTTTCTCATGCCTGTTAGCTCATTTGTATACCCAAGTGAAACCGGTAATGCAAGGCCTCCATACGGTTCCTTAAAACACAGTACAGTATCTGTATAACACACTCAGGAGTCTTTGCAATCTATGTTTTTTAGAGTTATTAGTATAACTTATTTTAAGATTGTTATTGTTTAAGTACTTGTTATTGTTCCATTGTTTGTCGTTTATTCGTGAACTGATGTCCTTCACAGTGAACCTGACCCATATTATTCATCACTGCTGTTGGTCTGCACTGAGGCTGGATGCTGACTGTGTCCCGCCCCCCCCCCACCAGGTCTGCAGCCCGCTCTTTGGAGCAGAGAGGATGTCTCGCAGTGGCTGAAGTGGGCCGAGCGGGAGTTCTCCCTACATCCCATTGGCAGTAACACCTTCCAGATGAACGGAAAGGCGTTGCTGTTGCTCACCAAGGAGGACTTCCGGTACCGCTCACCCCACTCAGGTGAGGGGATCTCCACTCTGAGCCAGGCTTAGAACCTGTCCCCCTCTTTACCAGGGATGAGGTCTCACCCTGCGGTTTTCGTCCTGGCCGTGGAACACTGGACCAGCTTTATACCCTTGCAAGGGTACTGGAGGGGGCCTGGGAGTTTGCCTATCCAGTCTACATGTGTTTTGTGGATTTGGAAAAGGCTTATGACCGGGTACCCCGGGGTGCTCTGTGGGGGGTGCTTCGGGAGTATGGGGTCCGGGGTCCACTGTTGTGGGCCATTCGGTCCCTGTATGAACGGGGCAGAAGCTTGATCCGCATTGCCGGTTATAAGTCGGACATGTTCCCAGTGCGGGTTGGGCTCTGCCAGGGCTGCCCTTTGTCATCGGTCCTGTTTATAATATTTATGGACAGGATTTCTAGGTGCAGTCAGGGTGTTGTGGGTATCCAGTTCGGTGGCCTCAGGATTGCCTCGCTGCTATTTGCAGACGATGTCGTCCTGTTGGCTTCATCTGCTGGGGACCTCCAGCGTGCTCTGGGGCGGTTCGCAGCTGAGTGCGAAGCGGCGGGGATGAGGATTAGCACCTCCAAGTCCGAGACCATGGTTCTCAGCTGGAAACGGGTGGATTGCCCTCTTCAGGTCAGGGAAGATGTACTGCCTCAAGTGGAGGAGTTTAAGTATCTCGGAGCCTTGTTCACGAGTGAGGGTAGGCGAGATCGGGAGCTGGATAGACGAATCGGAGTGGCGTCTACAGTTTTGCAGGCGCTTAACCGGTTCGTCGTGGTTAAGAAAGAACTGAGCAAAAAAACAAAGCTCTTGATCTATTGGTCCATCTTCGTTCCTACCCTCACCTATGGTCATGAGCTATGGGTAATGACCGAAAGAATGAGATCACGAATACAGGCGGCCGAAATGAGGTTTCTCCGCAGGGGGTCTGGGCGCTCCCTTAGGGATATGGTGAGAAGTCCGGATATCCGGGAGAGCCTCAGAGTAGAACCGCTGCTCCTCCACGTCGAAAGGAGCCAGTTGAGGTGGTTTGGACATCTGGTGCGGATGCCTCCTGGACGACTACCTGGAGAGGTTTTCCGTGCATGTCCTACAGGGAGGAGGCCCCGGGGCAGACCCAGGACTCGCTGGAGGGATTATATCTCTCGGCTGGCCTGGGAACGCCTCGGCGTCCTCCCCGAGGAGCTGGTAGAGGTAGCTGGGGAGAGGGAGGTCTGGGTATCTCTCCTGAAGCTGCTACCCCCGTGACCCGAACCCCGGACAAGCGGAAGATGATGGATGGATGGATGGATGGATGGATGGAGGTCTCACCTATTAATGACATCATCGTACATCCATATCCTTGGTCCTGGTGGCCAAATCACCAGACCATACTGGAGCTCACCTGATCAAATCCAGTGTTCTTTCTCAGCACCAGCTGTGCGTGGTTTGAAATCTCCATTTTCACTAAGACTAAGTATCTGTGAACTGTATGAACTGCGTGTATTTGCGTGTGACAAATCTGCCTACTCACATGACCGGTGTAAAATGTGTGGCAGGTTGTTATTACATGTTATTTCCTGATGATCATTTTTGGCTACACTTCACTTGAGGGAGCACAAGTAACTCAGTTACTACTCAAATACAAATAATGAACAAATATAGTCGCTGCATGAATTACATGAACCGTTATGATTGATTAATGATGAATGAACATGGGGTCAGTACATAATTAGCACTTGGTTTCTGGTTAATTAATACATCAAGTGAGAGTATACTACTGCATTGTTTGTGTCCCCTCCATTAGAGTCTTGCCTCATTTTTAGACACTAAGTAATCAAAATATTATAACATTTTATTTTAGCATTTACAAAACTGGGAATGTTAACTGAAATAAATAAGGTTAAGTATCCCGCTCAAAAGCATAAGAACAGGCCTCTGCAGAGCAGCCCACACTCTGGCGGCCTAATGCCTTCCGTTCACGCGTCCATCGTAACCCGCAGGCGATGTCCTATATGAGCTGCTTCAGCACATCCTGAGACAGAGGAAGACCCATGGCTTACACTCCTCTAGCTTCTACCAGGGAAGCTTCCACTCGCAGCCAGGGGACCATCAGCTTCACAGGCTTGAAGGTGAGCTGCAGGAAGGCTGAAAGCGCTGACTTCATTTGGCTCGACATCTACTGTAGTGTTAAGCTATTCGGTGAACGTCAAGGGTAAATCACCAGAGGCAAAGTGGTGTGGAATTCTTCCATGAAGCTCAACTTCTTTGTAGTTTAACTAGTGTGTAGTGTCCATTGGCACGTCACCTCACTTCAACAACAACCTGGCAATGGCTCTCAAATGGCTATGAAATTGTTTATATAGTATGTTCATTATGTTATCTGGTTTTAATTTAAAGTGTAGAAAAAAATAAGAAGGAAAGTTTTTAAAATTTAGCAGGGAAAAAAACAACAGTCTGTCTTCCCTGGACATGCTGATGTTCATTAAATGAATGTAATTTGATCTTAATTAAATGGTCCACCTTATTGTTGTTCTCTATTTCTTGCCAGAGAGTTAAATTGTGTATTTTAATCAAATTTGCCTGTAAAGTATCCTTTGACTGTGTATTTTATTTCATTGGTTGGCTAAGTCATTGAAATCCAAGCCCCCATTATTTTAAATTTGCAGTATAGCAGTGACATCTAGTGGAGATATTGAAAAATCACTGATAATCTTATCTGTAGGTGAAATCTCCAGGTGTGGTAGGATATGTTATTAAGATGAGTGGCCTTCCACCTTTTTAACCTCAATATCCTTTATACAGAAACGGTACGTCGAACCCCACAAGGTACAGAGCCCATCCCTCAGTTCACTCCCACCATTGAGCTGCGCCATCGTCCCCGGTCGCCTCATAACCCGAGGCAGCCATCGCCAAATTCCTGCCGCTCGCCCCCAAAGCCGGGCCTTCGTGAGGACCCCTCACAGCTGACCTCCCAGCTGCCCGACAGCAACCACCACCCCGAGGAACAGTACCAGCTGTCCCTGTCGCCAGCAGAGGGCGCAAATGGCCGCTGCGTCTCGCCACATGAGGGCGACTCGCACTTGGTGCACAGTGCCGCCGTGCACCCCATCCTCCTTAACACACGCATGTCCCTGGCCGATTTCAAACGCGCACGGATGACCCCCATGAGTGGGCGAGATGGGTCCACGCTGGTCTCCAATCGGGAGGAGCTGCTGTACCAGAACCACATCTTGGTGCCTTCATCTCCCCTTGAGGAGCCACCTCTGCCCATTGGACGAATCGCAGGTAGGCCTGGCCTTCAAGATCCAGGGGCTGTTGTTTCACTGGTGTTCTGACGATGAACTGCAGCTGCCACCAGTGTGTTTGCATTAAGGCCCTTTGCCATTTCCCCTCTGCAGCTATCGCCAGTGTGTTTGCATTAAGGCCCTTTGCCATTTCCCCTCTGCAGCTATCGCCAGTGTGTTTGCATTAAGGCCCTTTGCCATTTCCCCTCTGCAGCTGCCACCAGTGTGTTTGCATTAAGGCCCTTTGCCATTTCCCCTCTGCAGACTGCAGGCTGCTGTGGGACTATGTGTATCAGCTTCTCTCTGATATCCGCTATGAGAACTACATTCGATGGGAGGACAAGGAGAGCAAAGTGTTTCGCATTATGGATCCGAATGGACTCGCTCAGCTCTGGGGCAATCACAAGGTAACATTATTATGTTACAATATCCAAAATCCCGGATGATATCCTGTCCTGGGTTATTCGCTGCCTCCAGCCTCCGGACTCCCGCAACCCTGAATATGGATATATGATGATATAAGTGCCAGTGTTTTAATTTTAATGCATCTGAGAAAAAAAAATCTGTTTGTATGAGCAAATGTAGAGAGTATGGAGGATTTAGGAAATTGGCATCAGCTGATTAAGAAGTGCAAGTGATTTCTGTATAACAGTTATCAGTTACAGTTATCAAGTGACAGTTATCAGTTATCTTAGCAGGTCTGGAACTATTAGTATCAGTTTAAGAATCATTTCATCATGTATTATAAATGCCACAGTCTTGGAACCATCCCCAAATTTCAGCTTCATTCCAAGTGTTTGGCTGTAAAAAATAAATCGCTACGTTTCATGCATGATGTCATGGAGGTATGCACTGCAAGGTTACATTTCCTTCAAAAAAAAAAAAACTGCGAATAAAACTGGAGAACTCTCAGATACTTTTTACAAAACCTAAACTTTCAGAAAAAAAATCAGACCACAGTGTAATGGGCATAATTACAGTCAGTTACCTGCCATAAAAAATAAACGGGCCTGCTTCTAAAAAAAAAGTTCTGAGGCCTGATTCACAGACCTGGATCTGAATGGAAGAGCTTCACTCAGAGGCCCTGCGGCCAGAGGCCCCCTGACCCCCCATGCGCTGGATGTAGCAGGGCTACCAACTTCGCTCAGCTGGCTGGCCTTAGATTTTCAAGTCGAGACAAGTCTGCACACACATGCACACGCATGTACGTGTATCTAACAGTTTTATTACCTTGTAAACAGTCTGTAGGATTTGCAAACTACCCCGACACATTTAATGTAGCTAACTTTATGTTTATAATGGAATTACATATATTTGCTGTAAGATTTCTTTCGTGAGCCTGAGGGTCTGAAAGTGCGAGTGTCACACCAGATGCATGAGAGTTGGCAGCCCTGCTGCATCATGCACTAACCTCCATGCTAGTAAGATAGTTTCTAAGGGTGAAGTATAACTAAATCTTCTTGGCTTCATCTGGATTGGCAAAACTGAATGTTTATGGATGGAACTGTGAGCACTTACAATCTCATGCTTAATTGTGGGTCAGACTGGGAGCTGGGATATTGTGTATTTTGGCAAATTGATCGGACTAACATAGCTCTGTGATTTACATTCCTCAAATCAGAACAGGACTAACATGACTTATGAGAAGATGTCAAGAGCGCTGAGGCATTACTACAAGCTGAACATCATCAGGAAGGAGCCCGGCCAGAGGCTGTTGTTTCGGTAAACCTGCCTCTTGCTTAGTAACAGTCGCTGGCTTCATCGGAGCTATGGGAGCATTTTTTTCAGCTCCTCCTGCCCCTGTCATCTGCTCTTTGTTCCAGGTTTATGAAAACCCCAGACGAGATTATGAGTGGCCAGGCCGACAGGTCGGAGCACTTCGATTCAGACCTCGACGATCAGATGTACGTAAAGGAGGAATGCTGAATGTGCATGACACTCCGACAGAGTAACGTGGATTTTGAAAAGCATCTGAAACTAGATTCCAGACAAGAGGAACTTAAACCTGTGGATTAACTTTAAATGCATTTCACATTCACTCTTTTAAATTAGATTTTATGTGAAGTTTGCTATAATTTTGATCAATTAAATCTTTTATATATGAACCTATAATAAAACATCCAAAGCAGTGTCTCTTGGATATCTATTATACATGCTTGATTTACGATATGGATCCAGTGTTTTGGATATACAGTTCATGTTCTTTATGTGCCATTTAAGTGCATTTATGTGCATATTTCAGGATGTTGGGATTTTTTTATGGTGCTGATAGACATTCTTTGCAAATGCAGAGCAGGAGTATGTTCAGTGCATAATAAATATTTAAAATTCAACAGTTAAAGTTGTCAGTTATATCTTTATTTGTATAGATCAGCAGCGTTGGTACTTTACTGCATGGAATGTTGGTAATGGAGATGTGCGAGAGAATGATTATGCAAGGAGAAAGAAACACGCAATGTGGAAAGCAAAAATAACGTTTACTAGACACTATTGGGAGAGAAAAAAAGAATCTAATATAAAATAAGATGACATCTATTGATCACGGAGATAAATCCTTTACATCGATAAGCTTGGGGACAGTAGAATTACCAGATGCTACATGACCATAACCTTTGCAGGATGGGTATTATGTAAACAAGACTTTTTGTCGGTACTGAATTTGATCAAGGCTCATTAGCACATGCCGCATGTGTTTGGGACTGAGCCTGTAAGATTGAAATACTGCTAAACAAACATGGTTCCCCACCACATCACAATGGCAAAATATGGTGAGAAACGCCGAAGAAACTCCAGCAGCTTAACTGGATGTCTGTACAGTAAGTCGGGGATCCAGGTCCAGTGTAAACTGGTATGTTTACGGTTCCCAGAATAGCCAGTGAAACTTTGACTCCCCTGAAGTACCCTCCCCGCCCCCACGCTTGTCCAACATGGAGTGGTTTGTTCATCTGCTTTGTCTTTCTGGCTTTGCCCACTTGCACAATATGCATGTGCATGCATGGCTAAAGCCCTCTGGGGTAGTTATGTTGGGAAGGACGCTTTCTAAAAGAAAAGTTTAATTCTGCTGACGTCATATAGGACAGAAGCACCAAACAGAATGAACATGCTAGGTACAACTCTTGGGGTGACCGGTGAATTTACACTAATTGAGTTGATTATAACATTGAAATAGTAGTAGTAGTAGCAGTAGAGCTTTATTGTAATCTCAGCCACATATATTAAAGCACACGATGAGATGAAATAACGTTCTCCAGGGACAAAAGGTGCAACGTATGACACACCAGGATAACAGCACACTTGGATACATCAACAGTCCGTATAATTGGGGGGCGGACGGGAATAAATAATACCAAAGCATGTTCACTGCTTTAGCAAGCATGGTGCTCACAAACCAGTATCAGGACTAATAGTAGAGGGTTTGAAAATACTGCATTGAAGGCCAGCCATGGCAGCCAGAAGGAGCCTTTCTGCACACCATTAATCCTGTTCTCTTGAGAGAATATTATACAAGTGATGGGCTAATAAACAGGATTAGTATTATGGTCAAGTGACTTTATAGCTACAGCACATGGGCAACCTACAAGCCAGCCACACCAGGAATGCTTTCCATTGGCAACTAGTGAAGTCTGCTTGTTTCATCTCTACCTGCCAACCACGTATCTGAATCTGGCCTTTAGGGCCACCAGCCAGATTTGTCACGGGAGGAGTCCTTGCGTACAGAACATGGCCGTTCGGTACCAATATTTACACATGCCTAGCCAGAAGCATCACATCTTGGAAGACATCACAGCCTGTCCTGCGTCCCTATAAATATCACATCACTAAGAAAATATTTGAGATGGAGAGATGCAAAATTATGTGATAGCCTGTATCTGCATAACTTGAATTCCACTTTAACCCTTTACCCTTCTTACCCTTTAACCACCCATTCAATATCAAATGCTGGCCAAAAATGTAAATGAAATTATGTAAATTCTTAAATTAACTGAGCTAGCCAAAACAGTTGAAACTACCCAGCAAGGAATTAAACAGGACACAAACAGGGCAAACCAAACAGAGAAGCAAAAAATAATTACAAGCTAGTCTCAAACTCACAACGGGTGGGTTCGCTCAGTTTCTGAGCCACACACTCAGCCCATTGAGCCGTGCGGTGGACTGGGAAGTAGGCATAGCACACTGGAGCTGACAGACAAGAGACAGGAGTGTGAACAAGATGCCCAGCAACACCTCCAGGCCAAACGGGGAGCAGACACGAAGGGCAGGGTAGAGCGGGGGCTGACCCTGACAATTGGAGTAATAGATTACATTTAGATCCATCTCCTGTTGTATGATCACTCATACCATGTTTAATGAACACACTTTCAAAGGATTGACATCAATAACTTGTCGTCCTCAGCCTCATGAGTATTACACTCTTCAACTCACTCTCTAACACATACTGGCATTGGCCTTGCAAATCCTGTTCAGCTCATCTATTCAACCAGTTGGTGTTGCACCTAACAAGTTCTTTTGTCAGTAGATGTCCATATATGACATGCATCTGTCAATACACCCATATGGCAGAATTCCCACTGTAAAATTAGAGCCAATGTCAAGACTTCCAAAGTTCTGGCTAATTTACGAAGTGTCCTCGTCAACATGGTTGCTCTGAAGTACTCTCTCTGAATGCCAGAAGGATTGTATCTTTCTCAGCCATTAACTTTCAACTCTGAAATGATCCTAGCAGTCATGCTTAGAGGCCTTGTCACACTTCCTACTTTCCCAGCTATTTACAGTGCAAAATAAGCTATTTTCAAGATAATTTAAGTATTCAAATAGGTTAGGCATGTTCCAACACAAAACAATGAAAGCACAATCCTCAACAGACTAAAGTTACAGAAAACAAATCCAAGATACTGTTTGAAGATTTGAGGAAATTGTAAATTGGGAACTGGCCAACTGGGGAAAGGGCCACTGTGATGAAATGGAAGGACAAAGACAAACCCTCAAACAAACATCTTGAAAGGCAGAACAGAACAATTGTGGCTGGGGTCATAACAATGATAATCAGTAGTAAAAAATGTACACATTTAAATACATACTACACTGTAAATAAATTTCTATGGTCATTTTGTCATCCATATCTTTGTAAGTGGGGTGGCATGGTGGTGCAGTGGTTAGCACTGTTGCCTCACACCTCTGGGACCTGGGTTCAAGTCTCTGCCTGGATTACATGTGTGTGGAGTTTGCATGTTCTCCCATGTCGTTGTGGGGTTTCCCCCATGTACTCCAGGTCCCCCCCACAGTCAGTACTCACAGCTGGCCCCCTGTCCTGGGTTGTTCCCCACCTTCTGCCCATAGCATCCAGGTTAGGCTCTGGACCCCCTGTGACCCAGAAGGATAAGTGGTTTGGAAAATGGATGGATGGATGGATGGATGGATGGATGGATGGATGGGTATCTTTATAAGGTGACAGAGTGGCTTGCACTGTTGTAACATGTATCCATGAGTGTGGGTTCAAATCCTACTCTGGCTTCATACAGTATCTTCATACCCCTGCTCTCTGTGTGGAGTTTGCATGTTCCTCTGTTGTGTGGATGTCCTATAGTTCTCTGATTTAGGATTAGAGAAATGGCTAGATTAGGCATCCAGATAGGGTTGGCATTAGGATAACTGCTCAGACCAGGGGTGGGTAATCTTATCCGCTGGTGTGTATGCAGATTTTTCAGATAACCTGTAGGTCAGCTGTTCAAACCCTGGTGTGAGGACTCTTCAGCCAATCAGTCCTCTAATTAGTGATCTAATCTTAGAGTTATGGTCAGGGTTGCTAATAGGCTTAGGGTTGGCATTAGGGTTTTAGCTAGAACAAGGTTTGGGCATGGAATTAGGGCTAGGATTGCGGTTTAAGTTTGCAGTAAAATGCATATACTGTAAGTAATGAGGTTTTTATGTATTTCAGTGTCTAAGGATTTTACAGTGTGCTTTCATTGACTTTGCAAAAAACATTTTGCTTCTTGTTGGACATTACAGCAGAGCTCCTCCTAGGCCTCAAACTAAGCCTTAATCTTTAGCTTGATCTCAATCGCTACAAAGACTTTCCCAAAAACAACACAAGAAACAGGCCATCACACACAGGTATTTAGGCTTTCCATCGTCATTTCACAAAAAAGGACAGGAAAAATAATCCCTCACAGATGAAAGCACTAAAACTATTTCAAGTTGAATGCCTGCTTCCTGTTTCCTATCCTCCCTTTAGTGGAGCCACGTTGTTTAAAAACAGCAGTTTTAGCTATTGTTGCTGATCAGATAGCTCTACCTGGAAGTCAATTGTCTGTGTGTCTCCTGCCAACCACCTCTGCTGCTTTCCAAAATTAACACTTAATAAGCTATGCCGTTCTTTATCATTTTCAACATTCATGTCCAATGAGCTCTGCTGTTATAGTGAATATAGGGTGACCAGATAATCCATGTCAGGGAGGACACTCTGAGCTAGGACAGGAATTGTAAATTACCGTTTCAATTAAATGGACCTGGATTTCACTTGAGCACTGAGTTCTTGCTGTGTGCTGATTGGTCAGTCTCCTATAATCAAAAAGGTGCCATAGAATGACAATCACTTTATAGCGGCATAGTTAGAACTGACATACCGCGAATCTCAAACACTGTTTCTCCTTCAAATATAAACCCCGCATTTGTAAGATTGTAATAAAACAAGCCGATTCAAAAATCCTAGACTGTTAAGTAACGCTCTTTACACCCTGTTGGAAGGAGTGGGTGACATTAATTGCTTTTATGCCGGTGGTCTTGGGTAAAAAAAAAAAAAAGTAAATGACATATATGCATGCCAGTGCATAATTGTTTGGGTGCTGGCACGGAGAGTTCGGGTGTTCTTAACATTTGAGAAATCTGTGCGATTTACCGGTAATTGTTAAATAACTAATGAAACCATCAATTCTCGGACAACTGCTGGCTCAGTTCATCGTTGCAGCGGATAGATAGCCCGGTTACCGTGGCTGTTACCACAGAGAGACTCCAAACTCACTCTGGTCATGTAGCTGGATGCAAGGACCCATGTACCTGAGTATACTGCGCTGCCCAACAACGGTAAGACAGTTGAAACAGGAAAGGTAACAACCCCAAACTTAACATACACCAGCCCACATTCACGCCCAATGGACCTGCACAATCTGCAACATACATTTTGTCTCAAGAAGGGCATGCGTGCACAGGTCAGACAAGTGCATCTAGCATGGGAAAAATACATACTGGCGTAAGGTTATTTATTACTAGTATACAATACATACACTCACCTAAAGGATTATTAGGAACACCATACTAATACGGTGTTTGACCCCCTTTCGCCTT